CCTGGTAGTCCAGTGGCTAAGACTCTGCGCTCCCAACGCCTGGTCAGGGAACTAGATCCCATATGCTGCCAACTAAAAAGAAAAAAGATCGAATGTGCCCACATACTGCAACTAAGACCTAGTGTAGCCAAATGGAAAAAAAAAGAGAGAGAGAGACCTTACATGCAGGGCCCACAGCACTCTCCAGGGTGTCCCACTGTGAGCCAATGATCCCACTGTGGGACTGAACCCCTGATGCCTGATGCCCTGGAGTTCCAATCCTCCCACTTCCTACCTGTGTGACCTTGTGCAAGTTGCTTAACCTCTCTGAGCCTCAGCTCCTTCATTTGTAAAATGGAGACAATGGTAGTGGCCACCTTGTGGACTTGCTGGATATCGGCAGATGAGGCAATGTGCATAAAGCAGTTTCATGCAGGGCCTGGCACATTTCTGTATGATCATTCTGGAGGAAGGGGGAGCTGTGAGGAAGGAGCCCTCGAGTACTTGTATATGCTCCCGGCTGAGCCGGCGAGAAGAACGTGAATCTCTGGTGTCACAGCAATCTTTCTGTCTCACGTGTCTCTCTGTGTCTCCCTTCTGCTATCTGTACCCATCTTTTCTCCATCTCTCGCTGCCCCTCTCTCCTTTTGTCTCTGCTCTCCATCTCTTGGTATCTCTCTCTGTTGATCTCTTATCTCACATCTAGAAGTCTCTCTGTATCTCTCTGTCTCTGCCTCTCCCTTTTTGTTCTCTCTGCGCCCCTTCTGTCTCTTTCTGTTCCTCGGTAACTCTGTCTCTGTCGGTGCTCTCTCTGTCTCTTTAATCTCTCTTGCTCTCTCTCCTCTCTCTGTTTCTCTTTACCTCTTCCTGTCTCACGGCCCTCCTTGTCTCCCTCTCTCTGTCTCTCTTCTTCCCTGCCATCTCAGTCTGTGTTCCTGAGTTCTGGGGAGTGATCCGCTCTCTTGGACTCCCTCTGTCTCCTTGCGTCATCTTGGTGTCTGTGCCCCTCACAGTCCTGGCCCCCTGTGTGGATGCTCCTGGCTGGCTGGCCCTTCTTACCGCCTTGGTCACAGCCACACCTGTAACCCATCTCTGGGTATCTCCGGGAGACCGTGTTTCACTGTTTCCATCCTTGGCTCGGTCCCTTCCTGCCTGCTGAAAGCACACTCTTCTCCCAGCCTTGGTCTCAGCCAGTTTCAGCCTCTTTTTGGTTTATTTCTCTCTTTCTCACTCTTTTTTTTTTTTTAAAACAATCTTATTCATTTATTCATTTCTGGCTGTGCTGGGTCTTCGTTCCTGCATGGGCTTTTCTCTAGTTGCGGTGAGTGGGGGCTACTCTCTAGTTTCTGTGTGCAGGTTTCTCGTTGTCATGGCTTCTCTTGTAGAGCACAGACTCTAGGGCGCATGGGCTTCAGTAGCTGTGTTTCCCCAGCTCTAGAGCACAGACTCAATAGCATGTGGGATCTTCCCAGGTCAGGGATTGAACCCTTGTCTCCTGCATTGGCAGCCAGATCCTTTACCACTGAGCCACCAGGGAAGCCCTCTCTCTCTTTTTAAAAACTTCATCCTCCAGTATTTATTGAGCAGCTATTCCATGCCCGGCACCATTCAAGACGCTAGAGGTTATTGTGGCAAAGCAGCACCCATGCTAGCTTTCAGGGGGCCTTTGTGATACTGGGGAGACAGATAGACAGGAAAGCAGACAAAGCGTGGCCCTGCCTTGGCCTTGCCCCCCTGAGCAGAGGAGTGCATAGACCAGGCTGGGCTTGTGAGTTTGGCGGGCTGCGCCCTGCGCTGGGCCTGACGATTCCTTGTCCCTAAACAGGGGCTGACAGTCGCTCTAGAAGCCAGACTAGAGGGTTTAACCACTTGCTCACTGGACAGCATTCATGATGCCCCAGGCTGGGGGAGACACAGGTAGAAAGAGAAAGTCCTGGAGAAGGAAATGGCAACCCACTCCAGTATTCTTGCCTGGAAAAGTCCATGGACAGAGGAATCTGGCGGGCTGATGTCCATGGGATTACATGACTGAGCATGTGTGCACGAGGGCGGAGGGAGATGGGTTGGTAGCAATAAAGTGGTAGAACTGAAAAAAAAAAGAGAAACTCCCAGCCCACATGGGGCACAGTCCATACAAACACTGGACTTGACCTTCTCCCTCTCTCCCTGCCTCCACCAGAGTTTGGCCTGCACGTGGTGAAAAGCCATTTGAGTAGCCGTGATCTTTAAAATAAGTTTCTTTGAGCCAACATCTGAAAATGGGGATGTTTTACATAAAACTCAGAATTCCCAGCTTCTGTTGTAAAAATCAGGAGATCGGGCAACAGTGGACTCATTCCCAGAGGGCCTTGAAGGGTTAGAGCAGTGTCAAGGCTGTTCTCTTAGCTGGGGCTGTGGCCTCCGGGTCCCTGTTGTGGCCCCAAGTCCTCTTGTGTCCCTGGCAGAGAGGTCACTGACCAGCGGCCCCTCTGTCATCATGCTGGGGTTCTACTTATACTGGAAAACTAGTTCTCCACTGTGTCTGCATCAAAAGCGGGAAAATGAAGGTCACAGAGCAGGGATGTGGTGGAGCATGGCTTTTAAGCTTGCAGTCCTGATGAGTAGATGCCCTCATGAAACTCCATTTACCATCTCTCCCCTGTGTTTCATGTGGGGTCCTACCCCATCCCCACCTGGCCCCCGGGGCCACCTACCTCCCTGCCCCGGGCCTCAATGCCCTCCACCCTAGAGGGCTGGGAAACAAGCTTCAGACAACCAGGCTATCCTCTCGCCTCCCTGGCGATGAGGGTCTCCCTGGGGCTTCTCTGAGGAAGCCCAGTGGCTCTTCTTTCCTGCTGCCTCTGCCCAGGGCCCAGCTTCGTGGGAAACCCGTATGAGGAGCAGGTGTGCCCATGACCGCTGACTCAGGACAGAAGCCGAGGGTCAGGGGTGAGAGCCTGCCTTAGAACTGGAATTCCCAGCTGCCTTGGGCTCCCCCCACCACCCAGAGGTTCCCCTCCTCGGTCCCTCCCCCAGCTCCGGGGAAGGTGACTGCAACCTAGAGGAGGGGTGGGGGTCAGGGAGCACATTTCAGACAGGCAACGGGCAAGAGACAAGTGGCAAGCGAATGTGTGACTCGGAGAGAAAGAGACACAGGGGCCAAGGAAGAAGCAGTTCTTAGCCATTCTCGGCAGACATTTATTGAGTGCTTACTGTGTGCCAGGAAGTAAGCCAGGTGCTAGAAACAGCGAAGGGCCAGGAAGAGTCAGGGTCAGCTACCGTGTTGTCAGTGACAACACATTGACCCCGGTTGACATGGGAACAGATTAACCCTTCAGGCACCACTCTGAGGGCCGGGCTGGGTCCTCGGACAGAGCCTGGACCTTCCCACCTAACAAGAGAGATTCAGCGAGGCGTGACCCTCTCTCTTTTTGTCCAAGGAGAGGTAAGCTCCCACACGCTCCTCTAAATACGTTCACACCCGATGTGCCTGGGATTACACCCCAGACTTCAGCACACACATGCACACACACGCACACAAGAGGCACGCTAAGCGGTTTTACAAGGAGGTGGCGTGAAGGTGGTGTCCACAAGCCGTGCTCTGAGTCACCCACCTCAACACAAAACTGTCAAGAGTGCCCGAACATCCCCCATTTAGAGATTATCTTGAGAAGCTTTTTGGCCAACTCTCTTACCAAAACGTGAAAGACGTCAAAGTGAACAGGGGGACAACTTCTTAAGGCTTTTGCTGAGAGAGGGTGGTCCTGAGAGGGGAGGGATCAGAAGAAACGGACCTCACTTCCTTTCCTTGGCCACAAGTCCCAGTCAGAGCTGCCTGAAGTCTGTCCTGTTACGTGGGCGGGGGAGGGGGGTCGGGGTGCTCCCTGTCCCGTGCTCTCTGCCCCGCTCCAGGGTCAAGTGCCTACTAAGTAAGTACCAGGTACAATAACGTGCAGCTGCTTGACGTCCATGTCCACCGAGTCTCCCGGGGCGGGGATAACACTTGCATTTTACTGATGAGGAAACTGAGGCTCAAGACTCGTCTATGGTCATGAGATAATAGGCGTGGTGGGGCCTCTAACCTCTGCCCTTCCCTCATCGCCTCCTCAGCACAAGGAGATTGAGTCTTACTCTGGGAACGACTAAGCAGCCGGAAGCCCTGGTTTGGTCTTGGATCTGCTTGGGAGGCTGAGAAAGTGTGACTCCAGGGCTGGAAGTGCTGCCTGCAGAGACCAAGGGCACAGATGGAAGAGGTCTGCCCTGCAGTCGGCCACCCACGTGGAGGACGCTGCACCTCCTTCCTGATGTGCATCCTCAGCCCAGGGTTTGGGGTGAGTCAGGGGGTTGGGGACAGGCTCTGAGCCAGCCCGCTCACCCTGACCCCACCCCCATCCCAGGGAGCCCCACAGCCTGTGGAAAACCCACCTCCTCACTTTCAGGGTCCTGGGCTCCTAATCCCAAGCCCATAGTTAAGACGCTTTCCTGCCCCAGAACTCACGAGAATCCATTGTATTACCCCTCAGAGGGAGGGAAGCTGTGGATTAAACAGCCCCAGAAGCCTGACTCTGTTGAGAAGACTTCTCAGAGCTCAGAGGCCAGAGCCTCTTGCCATAGCGGGCCCACAGCCTGACCCCTCTAAATCACATGCCCCTGGTGCATATCTGTTTAAAGTCACACAGATGGACGTGCAAATGCATTAACCACTGCCCACCCCCCACCCCTGAGGACCTTCCTGGTGGTCCAGTGGTTACTCTGAGCTTCCAGTGCACGCGGTGTGGGTTCAATCCCTGGTAGGGGAGCTAGGATCCCACATGCTGCATGGTGGGGCCAAAAGATAAAACAAAAAACAACTCCCTTGGAGAAGGAAATGGCAACCCACTCCAGTATTCTTGCCTGTGAAATCCCATGGACAGAGGAGCCTGGTGGGCTACGGTCCATGAGGTCGCATAGAGTTGGACACGATTGAGCGACTAAACAACAACAGCATGGATTTGTCAGTTTCTGTTATGTGAGTACCATAAGAAGCTGAAAAATTCAAAGCATTATCGTGATATAAGAAAAAACAAAACTCCACTGGGCCAACTGAACGTGTGCACGGTTGTCTGGGACGGTCCTGCACTCCCAACGATGGCCACCTCCCCACCCGCAGCGTGCCTGGGGCCTAGGGCAGTGGGAGGCCCTCGGGCTTCACAGCCCAGGGCCAGAACAAAGAGGGCTTGAGTTCTTTTCACCATGCTGACGCTGAGTACAAGAGGGAATAGGAGATGGAGCAAAACAGAAAGGAACCCACAACCCGCAACCCCACCTGTGGACTTTACAAGGGTGGGAAACTTCCTGACGACAGGCCCAGGCAGCAAGAGCCGCAGGCAGAGGCCAGAGGCTTTGGAGGAAGCCAGCCACAAAGGGTCACCTGGACTCAAGTCCGGGGAGACAGAGAGGAGGGGGCTCCTGGGAACACTCCTGAGGCTGGCCTGACCCTGCTTCTTGCTCCAGTTGAACGCCCTGGACCGGGCACCACTGCCTGCTCCTTCCTTCCACCAGGAACCTGGAGAACCCGGGGGATGATGGAGGGCCCAGGCCATTGATGACCGCTGCCTTTGACCAGCCCATGGTCCCTTCCGCATCCCAGGGCACTCCTCTCGTGGCTGGGGGTGACCAGAGACTTCCTCCCCCAAGTTACCGTTGGCCTCTAGGGCCAAGATGACTCTACTACGTATAGCTCACCCCACTCTCTCTGAGGAAGCTCTTGGCTCCAAGAAAAGGAGACCTCGCCTGTGTGTGTTTCCCTTCCTCAGGCTGTTTCGTCTTGATCTTAAGGCCTGGCGGCCCCCAGGCTGCCACTCCGAGTGGACTGTCCTGATCTAGAGGGCCGTGGCTGCTCCAATGATTAGGACCATATGCGAGTGCTGGCTTTCACCATGAGCAAGTTACTCCACCTGCGCAGGCCTCAATTTTCCCAGCTGTAAAATAGGGAGGGGAGTGTATCAACTCTGGGCTTCTTAGCATGCCTCAGTGATGGCAATGGGGAAATATGTGGCCCATCAACCCTGCAGGCAGAGTAAAATGACTGGCAAGGTAGTGTGTGGGGGGTGCGTGGCACATGTGGACCCAGACCATCCGGTACCCTGCCCTCATTTTCATGTCTCTAAGCCCCATACACTATTGGCTCCGGACTGTTTTCCACCCTGAACTCTGGTTTCTCAATGCCTGCTTCTTTCCACAACGTGTACACCCCCTGCAGGCAGGTGGGCGAGAGAGAGAGGCCGAAGCTCCCACTTCGGCTGGGCTGGGGAATGCTGGGCACAACACAGGCTGTGTCCGCATGGCCTCAGCACACTTCCCAGTGGGAAGGACCCTTGCTAATCAGCACTGCCCCAAACTGCACTCCATTGTCAGAGGGTTTCAAATGTTGGGGGGGGGGGCACCAGAATCACCAGGTGGGGCTAGCAAAGAATAGACTTTAGTTTCCTTCTAGGTCAAAGGCAAGACCCAGGGGCTATGTTATTAACAAGCACCCCAAAAGCTCCTACTGCAGGTGGTCATTGGGCCCCACTCTGGGACGTGGCTGGGATTGTTAAAACCACTCCCCAGCTGCCCACCACACCCCTCTGGAGAGTATAGCCCACCAGCACTGAGCTAACGTGACCTTGTCCAGCATTTCCCAAATCTGACTACAAATCTTTTTTTAAATTATGTATTTGGCTGCACTGGGTTCTTAGTTGTAACATGTGGAATCTAGTTCCCTGACCAGGGATTGAACCCAGGTCCCCTGCATTGGGAGTATGGAGTCTTAGCCAATGGACCACCAGGGAAGTCCCAAACTTTTTTTAAAAATTAAAATAACCTTAACATCTCCCAGAACGAGCATTGTTAGGAATGTTTTGGGAGAAATGTTCATTTTGCACTCTCTCCTTTTTAAAAAAAAATGTTTAAAACAAATACCTGCTTTTGAGTATTTGAGTGGATGAAGCCTAGGGAGATGAGGTGAATTTCAGGGGCTCAACTGTGACCAGCAGCGCAGGTCTGGGCCTGCGTCTGCCCCTTCCTGTCACCGCCCATTCCTCCTGCCACATCCTGCTCCTGCTGTCTTTGAGGCTGCGGCTGGTCTGGGGTCACCCTGCGTCCTGAACCCAGGAGGAATCCCAGGTGTGGCTGAGGGTGACAGGAAGCCTGAGCAGGGATGAAAGGGGGTCAGGATTAGCCTGGCTGGCTGGGATAAGCAGCAGAGGAGGGGGTGGCCACACTTCTGCACAGGCCTGATGTGTTAGGGCTGGAGCAGGGGAGGAAGGTCTTTTCCTGGCCCACTGCCCCCCCAAGACGGCAATCACACCCAGACAGAGACAGTACCCAGAGTCGGCAGCTGGGGACAACTGGGGCTGGTCAGTGGCAGAAAACTTTGTCCTGCTTTTTCTTTTCAAGCTCAAAACAGGCACATGGAGTCATGAATTGATATGCTAGAAGGGGGCATCCCTTACCAGTAGGGAAATGGATTTATTGCTTTATAAAAAGGAGTCTGATAAAACTTAAAACAAATCACCTAAAAACCCACCCACCCCTCTCAGAACTCCCAGGAAGCCTCAGACACATTTCTGAGCGCAGTCAAGGTGGGTGAGTTGGTAAGCCAGGCCCGCCTGGCAGTGGAAAGGTGGCCTCGCCCGCGTTAACAGTTCCAGGGCCCCTGGGAGTCTGCCAGCAGGGGGCACTGTGGCCCTGTAGCCTCGGACAAGCTCTGGGCCCTGAGCGGGGCTGGCTCCTGAGCGCGGCTGGCTCCTGAGCGCTGGGCTTGCTGCGGGCCTGGCCAGCTGGGGGCAGCTCTGGGAGGGTAAGTGCAGACACCCAGAGCCCCACCCTGCCACCACCCCCGCCCCACATCTCTCATACACAGCACATGGACACACAGCCCACACATCCACACCCTCAGGCCTCTCACAAATTCACCTCCCCGCCCAGGCCTGGACCTCCAGGACTGTCAGCTGCAGCCTCACTTCCACCCCCCACAAAAACAGCTGCGTGTGTGTGTGTGTGTGTGTGTGTGTGTGTGTGATGCCCAGCTGGTGCCCCCTTAATTCCCTTCAGGTCACAGCCTGGACAGAGGGTGGCGGTGGAGACATGCCCCCACTCAAGCCCTGAGGGAAGAGGGGAGGACCACTCCCTGGCCTTGTCCATGGCTCCCTCGTGACCATCCCGCCCTCCAGACCCTTCCCAGGCTAAGCTGGAGGGGGTGGGGGGGGGCGCTTCCCCACAGGCCTCGAACAGGAGGACAGGCCATGGACAGGCCACAGGGGGCTGGAATCACAAAGGAGTTAGCACCAACAACAGGAAGCGGGTCCTTCCTTCCTCAGGCAGCTCAGACTGGCCAGGGGAGGAGGTGAGGGGCCAGGCCGGGGGTGGGGGTGGGGGTGTGCAGGCAGTGCAAGCCTTTGTCCTCAGGCAGGCGTGGTCGGCGGGCATGCAGCTGAGGGGCAGGAGGCGGGCAGTGGATGGCAGACCCCTCTGCTTTGGCTAGAGGCAGAATCCGGACACACTTCAGGGGAGAGGGTCTGCCAGCCCGGGGGGGTCCTCCTGGCTCCTCCCGCAGGCACCACGGAGCCCCGAGGCTCAAGGGCCCCTGAGGGTGGCGGAGTGAAGTCCAGAGCCTCCCCGCCTCCAGCAGGAGTGCGTGTCTGGGCCCTCTCCCATCCGTCTGTCCACCGCAGAGCTCCGAGGCAGGACCAGGGCCCTGGGAGGGAGCGTGGACTCCAACACAGTGAAGGACACGATCCTGGGGTTGGGGGCGGGCGGGAGTGCGTGGAGGTCCTCTGCGGGGGCGGGGCGGGGGGACGAGGACTCTGCGAGTCACTGAAGCGAGAGGGCGGGAGCCCATGATCCCAAGACGGCAGGCGCTACACAAAAGCCTCCCGGTTGGACGAGCCGTTGAGCTTGAGGAAAAGCTTGTCATCCTCTCTCTTCTGCTCGAGCTGCCTCTCCAGCTGGCGCCGGTAGCAGATGAGGTAGAGGGGGAGGCAGAAGCCCAGCATGCTCAGCACCAGCAGGCCCACGTTCACCTGGGGAGGCAGGGACGAGGGTGGCCGTCACGGGGGGCAGGGACCACCGCACGTGCGGCTGCCGTCCTTGTGGCGCCAGAGCCTTCCCCGCTCTCAGGTTTGGGGTTGAGGCGAAGGTCACGGGAGGGGAGAGGAAAAACAGAGGAGTACCAGGAGGTCCGAGGGCCTGTCATTCCACGTTCTCACATCAGGATTCCCCAGTGGTCCAGGGGCCACACCAACGTGCTGATCTGGAGGTCCAGGGGTGTGGTGGGATTGGGACAAGCTCACAGCACCCAGTTATGAATCCCAGCCTCTGGCAGGAGGGGTAGGGGCAGCAACTCGGTTCCATTTACCCCAAAATCAGGTCCAGAAAGGACACTCTTGGGAATTCCCTAGCAGGTCCAGTGGTTAAGACTCGAGCTTCCACTGCAGGAAGTGTGGGTTTGATCCTTGGTTGGAGAACTAAGATCCCATATGCCACACAACATAGCCAAAATAAATTTTTTTTTTAAGAAACAGATAGAAAGGATACTCTTCCTCTCCTGCTCCCCAGTCTATTCATAGGGATCCCTGAACTGACTCTAGCCAAAGTTCCAAACTGCCTGTCCTGGGGTTCTGGAACACATTGTGATGCCTCCTGGCTCCCAGTCAGCAGAGTAGAGTGGATGCCCATAACCCAGTGCCCCCCCCCCCAACCCTTCTTACCCATAAAGGGTCTCCCTGGAGGGGACCCATCATAGCCAGAAACAGGGGCTGCTGCAGGAGAGCGAAGAGGGCGCTGATCAGGGACTGTAGGCCTGTGAGGCTGCCAAACTGTGTGGAAGGGTACCTGACAGGACAGGAGAGAGCCTGTCACCGCGGGGGCCGCTCTCCCGCTTCCCAGATGCTCCTCAGCCTCAGCCTGGCCCCAGCTGCCGGTGCCTCCAGGCTGCAACTTGCGGTTTCAGAGGAGACGAGGGAACAGCTTCAGAGGACAGGCGGGTGTCCATCTTTGGACTGCTTCGTGCTGAGCAGTTCCACGCAGAGAATTTCCCTTTTGGACCAGCATGAAGCCCCTGGGGCCCACGGGTGTCTGGCTGAGCCGAGTGGACAAGCTGGCAGGAGTCTGTGGCTTAGGAACTAGGCCCAGGGAGCAGGTGGGAGGCTGGGCTGGGCTTGGCTGCACCCTCATCCAGAGGAGCGTTGTATAATCACGGAAACATAGTATCACAGCCCTCGGGCCGACTCCCTCAGACTCTGCCAGGGTGGCCTCACCTTCCTCTAGGCCTTGGGGGGTGGGTGGCTCAGGCAGGGGTGGAGCATGCAGACCTGGAATGACCCCCATGGGATGCTCTTGGGAGCCAGGAGAGAGTTTTGGCATAATCTCAGGACATTAGGCATTGTGGCTTAGCAAGGAATGGCTGCAGGAATGAGCCTGTCTTTGGTCAAAGAGAGACAGCGGATGGTGTTTGGGTTCTGGTGTTTGAGCCAAGCCCCAGCCTGAGGAAGAGGAACAACTACGGTTCCTTAGGTGTGTGTGGCCTCTTGGAAAAGAAGGCAGGTTTCATTTTGGCCAAGGCCTGAGAAAACTGCAGGCAGACCAGCCCTTTGAGGCCCTGGGTGGGCTCTGTTAGGTACATTCTGGGCTCAGTTATTTATGTTGCTGCTGCCACTGAAGGCCATTTGAAGGTCAACATTCAGGTGTACACAGCCAGAACTCAGCCCTGCCCTTCCCGTGAGCAGTCAGCAGCAGCCACAGGACTCAGCTGAGCAGCAGCCCCTGAGGCCATAATGATACTGAGCTGCACCCTGGCCAGGTGAACTGACTTCGTGTTAAACGCCAAGGCTTGTGGGCACCCAACCATCTGCCCACTGACCCGCTCCCGCTGAGTATGGCCTTCTCCTGACACACCCAACAGAAACCCTAATATCTAAGGCAAGTGGAGGAACCTCAGGTGGACAAAATGGTCCCCTTCAGGCCCTCAGCCCCACCTGGAACCTCCCTCAGGTCATCCACCCCCTCACCCCCGACCACCAGGCCACCAGCAGCTCCTAGGACTTACACTGCAGCGTACAAGCCCCCGACGGCCGAGTGGATGAATCCTCGCACGATCGTGTGCAGGATAAAGGAGAGGATCTATGGTGGGGAGAGCAGAGTGTGAGCAGGAGTCATGGAGGGTCTCCCTTTGTCCCCCTGCCCCAGAGCTCCCAGGGTCCTGAGTGGTGGGAGCACTGGCCCAGGGAGCCAAGTGTCTGAGTCGTAGAGCTGACACCTGGAGTCGGCTTGGCCAGCTCGCCACAGCCAACTCCTGAATGCCAAGAATTCTGAGCCACTTGTTCAACACAGTCATTACTAACAACTCCACTGCATTAAAGGTACAATTTAATTACAATAGACCCTTGGACAATGTGGGGGATTAGGGGTGCTGACCCTCTATGCAGCCATAAATCCACATTAAACTTATAGTCTGCCCTCTATATCCACAGTTTCATATCCTCGGATTCAACCACCCATGGACCATGTGGTAGGTATTTACTATTGGAAACAGTCTGAGTGGAACCGCACAATTCAAACTTGTGTTGTTCCAGGATCAACTGTACATTGAAAACTGTACACGAACTAAGTTCGTGAATACTCAAAGCCCATCACACCCTAATTACTTTATTCTGTTTTACCATTACCTCTAGTCTTAAGGTTTCTTGAGTCTACTGCAGATATTGGGTTGGTTAGGGTTTTCCCCTGAACATCTTAAGGAAAAACTCTAACAAATTTTCTGGCCAATCCAATATATGATGGGCTTCCCAGGTGGCACAGTGGTAAAGAATCCACCTGCCAATGCAGGAGATGCAAGAGACGTGAGTTCGATCCCTGGATCAGGTAGATCCCCTGGAAGACGAAATGGCAACGCACTCCAGTATCTTGCCTGGGAGATTCTATGGACAGAGGAGCATGGTGGGCTATAGTCCGTGGAGTCGCAGAAGAGTAGGACATGACTTAGCAACCAAGCATGCATAATATATATATGATGGAGTGTTATTGTATGTCTTTCCAACTCCACAGTCAGTGACAATGGACAATGTATTGTTTGATACTAGCCATGATGAATGCACTTACACCATGGAAATTGCCAAACATGACAAACCACTACCCCACTCCCATCTAGAGTCTGCTATTAAGTGTATGTATGGACACGGCACTAGGCCGTGTAGGTCTCTAGGCCGTAGGAGGCACTCATCATCACTCCCGCCTTTTTGGACCTGAGGGCCATGCCCTGGTCTCCCAGCCTGGTCCTCCAGGCCCTGCTGGCAGATGGCTGTCCCCTCTCCTCTTACTCTGCCTTCCTAAGGAAAGGCCACTGCTGGCAGGCCGAGCAGGCCCTTGTTAGTGATTCCTGAGAGCCACGAGCTGTCTACTTTGCTGCCGGGACCCTTTGTTTGTTCTCTGCACACAGCCCTGTCATCAGGCGCAGCAGCCAAGCCCTGTTTCCGGGAATGTGGGCGGCAGAGGCAGTGGGACTGCTCTCTGTGGTGCTGTGAGAGGGCTGTGCCCGAAAGCACACACATCCTTTACAGGCTCCCCCTTTCCACCCCAAATGCCTTGCTGTCTTTTCACAACTTGCCTTTCAGTAAGAACTGGTTAAAACAAAAAGCAGATCGTGGTCCTCACTGACCACTGCTCCACAACTGGACAAGGTGGTCAGCGCAAGGGTCTGCCGGTCTTGCAGAGAGGGTCACCACCGCCAGGAGGCTGGGAAGGCACCAGGGGTGTGACGGCACTCCCATCTGGAACCAGCGTCGGTCTTGGGGGTTTACTCCAGCTGCACGCAGTGCGGGCGCAAACATGCGACAGCACCCGTGGGTGGTGCGCACCTGGGGTGCCCTAAACTGCTACATGTGGCCACTTGCAGCAAGGAAGGGACTCCTGCTTTCCTCCTGGACTTGGTCCAAGACACCACCTGGACTCGGGTCACACCCATCCGGGAGCAATGCCGTCACTTGTATCCCTTCCTTCAAAGTTCATCAGCTTGAGGACTGGAACTAGAACCCTTCTGTGGATCTGAGGGTGGAGCCAGGCAGGTAACACAATCTACCTTTCTCGAGCTCTCTGCCTAAAGTCAGGTTCCAAAAGCACTGGAAATCTTGTGCAAAGGAATTAAACTTTTGAACCCGGATACCAAGAGCTCATCATCAGAGGCTTTCTCTTGTGGCTGTCCTGAACCAGAAGAGCAAACGCTCCTATCAATGCCACAGACTGGCCAGACCTCTTAGGATGTTAGATCACAGCTGTTTGAGCAAAGGCAAAACAATTAGCTACACAAATATACCACATGACTCCAGAAATGGTAAGATGATGGTATTCATGGTGTGTAAGATGCCCCAAGACCAAGAAGAATGATACACTTTCATAGGGAAGGGTCTACTGTGAAAGGAAATCTCAGTTCCATTTACAGCTTGCTCTTAGAACTGTGATGCTGGAGAAGACTCTTGAGAGTCCCTTGGACTGCAAGGAGATCAAACCAGTCAATCCTAAAGGAAATCAACCCTAAATATTCATTGGAAGGACTGATGCTGAAGCTGAAGCTCCAATACCTTGGCCACCTGATGCCAAGAGCCGACTCATTGGAAAAGACCCTGATGCTGGGAAAGATTGAGGGCAGGAGGAGAAGGGGGCAGCAGAGGAAGAGATGGTTGGATGGTATCACTGACTCAACGGACATGAGTTTAAGCAAACTCTGGGAGACAGTGAAGGACAGGGAAGCCTTCATGCTGCAATCCATGGGGTCACAGAGAGCTGGACATGACTGAGCAACTGAACAACAACTCAGCATTGCGCACAGAGCCTAGCTGATAGAAGGCCCTTGATAAACCAGGGTGGGCTGGTTGATTGGTCTGGCTGGTTGGATTAAATGAATGAAAAGTCACTGTTCTCTTTGCTAATGGCTCCCCCATGAGACATCAGGCCCTCTCTCCCTCATCATCGCATCCCCCACACCCACCTGGAGAGGCAGGTTGGGAATGAGGCAGGTCACCCCGAAACCCACGAGCAGCAGGTTGGTGAAGGCGAAGGCCCGCATGGCATTGGTGATCTTCTGAATCTGCCGGTCCCGCTTCTTCTTCTTCTCACCTCTGTGGGGACACAGAGCACGGAACATAGGAGCAGGAGTGGGCTGAGGGGTGGGGATCCCTGGAGAACAGACTCTCCTAGGACGTCAGGCCTGGGGAGTCACAGCTTGCGGACAATGCAAGACCTAGACACCACCGCCAGGCAAGTGCTAGCTGGGGACTGTGGGGGCTAGACCATCATGAGGAACACTCCCCACAGCGACCCTCTGGACTGAGCGTGGAATGTGAACCTCAGTGGAGAGGTCAGACACGAGAAGATGGGCATCAGTACCCTGCATTGGAAGGACTGATGTTGAAGCTGAAACTCCAATACTTTGGCCACCTGATGCGAAGAGCTGACTCATTGGAAAAGACCCTGATGCTGGGAAAGATTGAAGGCAGGAGGAGAAGGGGACGACAGAGGATGAGATGGTTGGATGGCATCACCGACTCAATGGACATGAGTTTGGGTAAACTCTGGGAGTTGGTGATGGACAGACAGGCCTGGTGTGCTGCAGTCCATGGGGTCGCAAAGAGTTGGACATGACTGAGTGACTGAACTGAACTGAACCCTGCACTATTTCAGCGAAGACTGAGGTCAGATCCCCAGTGATGGGGAGGGAGGAGGAGGTGGCACTCAGGTCAGGATGTGGCAAAGCCTCCTTCACTGCTGGCTCCAGCTTCACCCAAATCCTGCAGGGAGCTGATGCTAAGCCAGAGAATAAGCCAAATAAGGGAGCAAGTGGGGTTCCCCTTGGGGGGCAGGAAGGAGTGAAGAAGAAACGAGCATGTGGCAGATGGAACTGGAATGGGCACCAACTGCCTTCTGGCTATAGGACCTGACCTAGATAACAGAGCATCTCTGTAATTATCTCTCTGTGAATTCACTGATTCCAGTCTCACCACCCACACAGATGCCCCATGGACAACTGCATGACATCCAAGGGCTCAGAGATGTGCAGGGAGGCCCAGACCCACCACTTTCTCCCTGTGTGACCTCAGGCAAGCCACTCCAATGCCTAGGTTCAGTTCCCTCATCTGTAAAATGGGTATAACTCATCAAGGTGTTGGGAGGCTTCCCTGAGAGATTCTGCATTAAGTGCTTGGCACAGGGCCTGATACAATCAAGAGCAGCTTATTATATTAAGGTGGAGTCAGAGAAGGCATTTAACTCATCCTCTGATCTTACAGCCCAGCCCTTCTATAAAGAAAGGGCTCCGGTTCCTCCTTTAATTCTCACAGTCATGAACAAAGCTATTAACACGTCTTAAGGTTATAGCTGTTTACGACTCACGCCCAGTGAAACAGGCCTTGCAGGCAAACGGACCACTCTAAGGCTCTCTGCCCTTGTGCTAATTGTGCTGAGGATCTGAGTGTGGTCCTAAAGGCAGGTGTTTGAGAGTTACCAGCCTGGTTTCTCTCCTCTCTTCTACCTTGGCGCTTCCCAAACTTCTATATACAAAAGATTTTTCCAGATAGAAATGACAGACCAGTACGTCGTGTGCTGAGCTGAGCGAGGGCCAAGAGTGGCTTTGAGCACGGGCCCTTCTCGCCTCTCCTGCTGACTTTACAACCCAACATCCCACCCACCCTGGAGCCGCCTAACACCCACCCGGTGGGCTGCTCCCTCTGGGGACGTGGGGCACGGGTTCAGCCTACGCACTGGTTGGCGTCTTTCTCCTCGGGCTCCTCGGAGGCATCCTCACACTCCTTCAGCCTCCAGTCCATGATGTAGCCAATGACGGGGGCGGTGAGCAGGCACAGAAGCTGGAGCACCCCGAAGATGGAGGTGTAGAGGCTCACTGAGGAGACAGAAGGGCCGGGTCACAGAGCGGGGTGGGGGGGCCTGCCCGCTGAGGCTGGCGAGGGGGCTGGGCAGAGTCTGTGACTCCACAAGTCCTTCTGGGTTTTTTTTTCCCCAGGAACCCCCACCCCCACCCCACCACTGTCACCATGAGTCATAATGGGGACAACCTCTGAAATCAAAGCCTGAGCAAGGGGCAGGACACCCTATTCTTTCCTCTGAATCCCTCGCCTATTTCCGAAAAACAGCCAGTATGTCACAATGACCTTCCCCAGAAGCTCCAGGAGGTCTCTATGACTCTGGAAACCACAAGATGGCCGAGGCCCAGGACGGAGCGAGGCTTCGTGTGTCAGCGGCCGTCCGTGTCCTGCCCCTCAACACACCGAGAAGGCCCCACTCACAGGGGCCCTGACCTAAGGGCTCCGGTCTTCAGAGAGCCTTAAAATTATGATGAGATTTCTCAAACAGAAGCTGAAGGCTGGCTGAGGGGGGATGTGCGGAGCTCAGGGGGGCGTCTGGAGTTCAAGGACAGGTGCTTCTCAGTGGGGTAAGGTCTGGCCAGGAGTGGACGGCCTGTGTTCCCTGATGACCCCCTCCCCCCGGCCTCCACGGGCTTACCGGTAGCCATCACTGCACCGAGAAAGCAAAAGTGACAAAGCAGAGAGGAGTGAGGTTAGCAGCAGAAATGTCAAAGGCTGTCACAGAGAGAGGGCTGTGGCGGCATCGAGCTCCGGGCCCAGCACCCACACCACTTCCCACGGAGCCCTGACTCTCAGAGCGCCCTGCATGGGTGTCTGCTGACGGTTTCCTGCCTGCTGGGGCCTCGGTCATGTGCGGCTGGGGCCTCGCCACAGATGGGCTATGAATCAGGCCTGTGGCACTTGTGGGGGGACTGTGATGGGGAAGTGGCCCATGTGTAGAAGATCCAGCGGCACGAGGGCTGAGGATCCGCCCCACACCCAGCCCGAGCGTCTGACCAGCCAGAGCTGCCAGCCCCCTGATCCCGACGTCCAGATGTCCGTGTGTGAGTGTGGGTGTGTGTGTGTGAGCTCTCAGGCTCAAGTGCTCAGAGCAGCAGGATGGGGAAACCAATGCCCTGTCAGCTGTGGCCTGAATTTCCTGGCCCAACTTCCTCTAGTTCTTGAAACTGACTTTTGAAAGAGGGAGACAGAAGGAAAAAAAAAAGTGCCTCTTGGGCAGTAAAAGATTTCTCAGAGAAAGCAAAAGAGAAGGCCATGACTCAGCAGCAGCAGGGAGATTTGCCTTCCAAGGGCCAGTAAGGGCCTTTTCTCTATACTCATCAGGGTCTCTGCCTGTCTGGGCCTCAGGGTTTGTAATAAAGGGCCTTTAGGCAGGCTAGATCAGCTCTCCTCAAAGTACAGTGGACAGATTTTAATGAATGTTACATAATAAAAGGGTTCCAGCGGTTGAAATTTAGGGGAATATCATTGAATGAAATGAAGCCAAACAGGGTATTTCTTCTTCCCCCCATCTTCGTGTTTGCTATGAATTTCTGCAAGGGCACATCATAGGGATTTTCCATGTTGCTTCATGTCCGAACACCCATTTTCAGGATGGAACCTGCATTGTCTGTGTCCCTTAGTCTCCTTCCCCTTTTGTTACAGCTGAGTTTCTTATCCTTTTTAGAAACATACAGGACTTCCCTGGTGGTCCAGTGGTAATGAATCCATCTGCCAACACAGGGCAAAAGGGTTTGAACCCTGGCCAGGGAAGATCCCACATGCCACAGGGCAATGAAGTCCATGTGCCACAACCATTGAGTCTGCGCTCTAGAGGCCGTGCTCCACAGCAATAGAAACCACCACAATGAGAAGCCCCTGCATTGCAAGGAAGAGCAGCTACCACTTGCCGCAACTAGAGAAAATCCCCATCCGGCAATGAAGACCTAGTGCAGCCAAAAATAAATTTAAAAAGAAAACAACAACAACAAAAACCCTTACATTGCCTGGAGTATCTTCCCATGGAGAAAAACAATTAAGCCAATTCCAAAAGTTGCACACCAATGAGACTGCCAATAAAAAGGATTTACCCAATGTGTTTGTCCTGCTTTCGGATGACTAAAGCTGACTCAGCTCAGGCCCTGAGGAAGTGCCGACTTTCTTTGCGGAATCAAAACCTCTAATCAGCTTGTGTGTTCTTTTAGAAAAGTGGGCAGGTGGGTTATCAGTTCTATTTACCAGAAGTAACAAGCCTGGACCGGATTACATAAGAGGAAGGCTCCACCTGGCCTCGCTTCCCAGTTCAGGGCACAGATCCCGGGAGACCCCGTGTCCAGCTGCAGCGGCCCGGCCCCCACCCTGGTCCCCAGCCTCTCCACGCGCTACCCCTGTGGTTTCCCGGAGGACTCTTGGCATTGGGTTTGACGGATTGTCTTTCAACAAGCTCTCAGGTGGAGTACAGTGTTCTGTGCAGTGTCTTCTCTTATAAACACACACGTCAACTGTCCCCCTCAGGCAACGAAAAACACACCCCACACCCCAAACACACATAGTTATTTCAGTCCTCTCCTCCCTCCTAAACCGGGAAACTCTGGCGGGGACGTGAAAGAACAGTTGGGCCCGGCTGTGATGAAACGGCTCTGACACACCATCAGGCCCTTGGATTCTGCCATTTCACTGCCCCGCTGGGCCCAGCCGAGCCCCACACCCTCCGGCTGGCCAGGCGGTGGACTTGACCTCAGGCGGGCAGAAGTGACCACCGCGCGTGGGCTGTGCCCCAGGGCTCGGGGGCCACCTACCTACGGCCTGGTCGCCGCTGACCAGGAACTGGAGGATGTTGTTCATGGCGCCCATGTAGAAGATGAGACGCAGCTGCGTGACGCACATGGTAACCAGGCTGAGCAGCAGGATGGGGCTGAACACGCTGTGCATGAAGGAGGGGGCCGCTGCAGGGAAAACTGGCGGCTCAGGGAGAAGCGGGCGGTACCCCCAGGGCCCACGGCCCACCTACCATTCAGGGCACGCGTGGGGCCGGGAGGCCCCCGTCACCCCCCACCAGATGAGGCAGACGGCTGGGTGCAGGAGGGGGGTCACCCAGCTGTACGAAACACACTGGGTGAATCCCTCACCTTCTCTGAGCTTTGTCTATAAGGCAGGATGGATGGTGCTGCCTGCCCTTGTGGGATGATGTGGGAATGAAGGGAGGCGGTACCTAGAGAGCCCTCAGGGGGTGCTGGACCCCATCGGGGTCTCCATCTGGACTGGATGCCCTCTCCTTGTCACTAGGCTGTTGATGGCTCAGGGCAGGCTTGGGAGGTGAGGGGCCACGTGCGGGTGGGTACCTGTGGCATCGGGCTGGCACTTGACCTCCAGGTCGACGGTGGACAGGCACAGCTTGTGGCCCTCCTGCAGGGCCGCCTGCTCCTTGGCGCTCCGCATGGAGCTGCCCACACTGAGGCGGCGTCCCACCGTGGTCACCTGCTTGTAGAACTGCTTCCCTGTGATCTTGTGGTCGAAGCCCAGCCAGCTGAACTTGATCTTCACCCTGGAGGCCACGGGAGAGTGTCTGTCATGCTGCCCGGGCCTCTGGCCGGCGTGGAAGTGGGGGCAGACCGCAGGTCCACTTACGTGTAGTCCATGTCCTCTGGCCCTGGGAAGGGCTCCAGGGGCCAATTAAAGAAGCAGTTGAGGAAAACCAGCCCAGAGCAGCCAGCCCAGACCACGAGGATGACAATGAAGGAGGCGCCAAAGTCATAGATGACCTGAGCGGCACAAGGGGGCAGGGGTCGCAGTCAGGGTGGGGCAGTTAGCAGAGAAAAGCTGGAGTGGGCAGGGGGCACCCGGCACTCCTGGTCTCCCTGTGCTGAGCTTCGAGGGGTGGACATGGCCCGTCAGCCTGGATGTCTGCTCACCAGGCACCTGCATTTTAATTATCTCCGCTCGCCCTGGACCACATGTCTGCAGTTTGGACCAAACGTCACCTCCTTGGAGAGGCCTCCCCCAACCACCTATCACTGTCACAGCACCTGCTCGCAGTGAACAGTCCTGGCTGAGATTTTTGACTTATGTTTCATTTCCTCATCCATTATCAGTCCAGCTCCCTGAAGATAGGAATCTCTAGATTTGTCCACTGATGTTTCTCTAACACCTTGAAGTGTATACACGGTAAGTGCCAAAAAAATACTTGAGGAATGAACAGTTCAACGGCTCACTTTGCTCTTCCGTGAAATGGGTCTGACACTGGCATGTACCCTCCTGGTGTTGAGGTGCAGTTCAGTGGATGTGACCCTAGTAGAGGGCCCAGTACAGGGCATGGTAGGTGGGAAGCCTGCCAGACTGTTAGTGTAATTTTTGCCATTTATTTCCAGCCCAAGGGTCCCCAGGGCAGTGGCAGACAGCTGCCCAGCTCCCCAGGGAGGGGACCAGCAGTCAGACACTGAGATGAGGAAGAGGAGGAACCTGAGGGCCCCTCTGCACTCCAGGAACATGAGGATCCCTAACATCCAGGGACAGTGGCCCCAGCCTCTCCGGACAACTTAATGCCCGGGTGGCCGGCCCATGTCTCTGACTCCTCCTCCTGCTCTGTGGCCTCGTCTCCTTGGACCTCAGGAAAGGGAATTTATTGGAGCTGGAGCCACCGCAGAGAAAAGCTGGTTCTGAAGCCCTTTCAGGAACAACAGGATTTAGAGCAGGAACCAGGACTGATGAGCAGTGAGGTGTTTGCTCCATCCTGACCCCGTGTGACTTCCATGGGCTCAGAATCCTGTCTGGGAGGGAAACAGCTGAACCAACTTGGCTGCGAGCAATGCTCTGGCAGTGGGGAGCAACAGCCCAATGACAACAGACCTGGGGGTCGGGGGGGGGGACTGGAGCTGGATTCAGGACGGGGGACACTCTCTCAGCCCCTTTCTTCCCCCCCAGCCCTGAAATGCAAAGGCAGCCTGCAGTCACACCTTGCAGAGATATGCTTGACTTTATCATCCCCACTCTCACGCCTCCACCCCCACCCCACCCCGCCCCACTCCACCCCACCCCTGGCCCAGCAGGTCTTTTTTCTTACTCCCAGAGGTGCCCAGGTGCATCCTCCCAGGTGTGGGTGGGGGGAAGGGAGGGCCCCAGCGCCCACGGTGACTTCCCTCTTCGGGGAGGGCAGAAGAGTCTTGGGAGAGTCCTCTGCTCAGATGCCAGCACACACCCTCACCTTGATTCCTGGGAAGGTGACCGCCGAGGAGGCATAGGATCCAATCATCAGGGCAATAAATGTGGACCGAAGGTCACCAAACATGTTGGGCAGCTGAAAGACAAGAAGCAAGGGAAACTTCTGCTGAAAGAGGGACAGACAGGATGAAGGAGGAAGGGAAGAGAGCATGACGGCATCCTCGGGCACCTCGTCTTATCTGCTCTCCTCCCTGCATAATTCACGAGGCATCAGTCCAGGGATAATCACTGCTAATTGCACATTTTTTCTTCCTGGACTGTGGGTGATTAAGGAAGAAGGGGAGAGTAATACAGAACTCAGACTCTGCACGTGCAGACAGGACTTCCTGGCTGGCAAGCGACCCTCCTCTCTGCTCTGGCACAGGCTAGGGCCTTTGGTCTCTGCAGGGTTACAAGGAGATGCCAGCAAGTGAGGCAACCTTCAAAGGGAGCAAGTCTGTTAAAAATAAGAATCTATTTGAGGATGAGAGAATCATTTTATAAATAAAAATATCAGTGTCCCAGAACGACCAGATGTCAGCAAAAGCTGCTTTTGATTTTGAGAAGAGTAGGTCTCTGGAAGGTGCCAATCAGAATTCTACAGTCTCTGGTGTGGATGAGGAGGCTGGTCTGGGAGCCCTGCTTCTCAATTTCTAGGTTCAAGCAGGGCTTTCTCTTCCCGCCTGGAAAGATCAATGGCAAGAAAAGTTCAGGCTTTCTTCCCTGAGAGGCCACTGCTCCCATCTCACAGGAGCTTGTCCTGGGCCCATTCGACATGACTACAAAGCTAAAACCCTCAGTGGGTTCCATACAAATTCAGGCATGGTAAACTATGACCACGAGGTCATGGATTCAGACAGGCATGGGGCGAAGTGCATGTTCCCCTAACTGCAGCCTTCCATGCTCTCGCTAACCTCGGGGGAGTTTGCACCATGTGCTCTGAAGGCTCTCCACCCACACCCACACGGTCCCTGGCACCGACACTCGCTCTCTGGATCTGCCAACCTGTTTTATTGAACTCAGGCTGCTTATACGAACCTAAACTAAAACATCCCCCTCCCCCAAGATGTCTGGAATTATACTGGGGTTTTATCAAACATGGACCACATGATGGCTTGCCTGCAAGTTAATCCATTTGCTGAACACAGGCAGCGTGAATGTATTTACCTACCTGCCCCTCATCATTTCTGCCTGTTTTCACCACAATTAAAAATGAAAAAGGGACATCATCCAAGTGAAAAATGTTTGCACTTCAAAGGACACCATCAAGTAAATGAAAAGATGATGAGACAAAGAGAAAAAATTTTTATGAATCATGTATTGGATACGGCACCCATATCTGCAATATATAAATAACTCTGACAACTCAGTAACAAAAACATAATCATTTTTAAAATGGGCAAACAGACATTTCTGGATAGATATTTCTCCAAAGAAGATATACAAATAGCCAATAACCGTTATGAAAAGATACTCAGTATCATTAATCATAGGGAAATGCAAATCAAACTACAATGAGATGCTGCCTCATACCCCCTGTGCATGCTAAGTGGCAAAAATAACAATTTTTTTAAAAAAGAAAACAACAAATGCTGGTGCTGATACAGAGTAATTGGAACCCTCCTACACTACTGGTGAGAATGAAAAATGGTGCAGTCATTTTGCAAAAGACTCTGGCAGCTCCTCATTTAAACACAAAGCTACGATATGACCCAGACATTTCACTCCTAGAATAAAGACATATGTTCACACAAAAACATGTATGTACATGAATGTTTACAGCAGCATTCTTTATAATATACAAAAAGTGGAGACAACCTTTATGCCCATCAAAAGATGACTGGATGTGCAAACTGTGGTATATCCCCACAATGGAATATCACACAGCCACAGAATAGAATGAAGAACTGATACATGTTACAACATGAATAAACTTTGGAAAATTATGCTGAGTGAAAGACACCAGTCACAAAAGACCACGTAACTGTACGATTCCATTCAGGTGAAATGTCCAGAACAGGCAAATCCCTAGAGACAGAGACTAGACAAGGGTTTGTCTAGGGCTGGGATAGAAGAAGCTGGGAGGGACAGGGAGGAAATGCTAATGGTTCAGAATTGTGATTGGGGTGATATGGTTAATTCTGGTGATGACCGTGTAACTCTATAAATACACTAAAAACCATTGAATTATATAGTTTAGGTGCATTGTATGATAAGTGGATCAAGTCTCAGCATCATTGTTAAAGAAAAAAAAAACATGAATAAGAGACTTGAGACGTTTTGGGATCCCAGGATTAAAAAGGAGCATGAATAAATTCATAGTGTGTGGCCAACAAAGCCACCTTGTGGCATGAGGCCAGGGTGCCTCTCCAGCTTCGCCACACACAAGGAGCTCTTCTTCCAGCCCCCTCTGCCCACTCAGGTTTCTCAGAGAGGGTTGGAGGGAGACAAGTAGCATAAGGAAACTTCCCCAGCAGGAGACAGAGGAAAGATGACATGTGCTCTTGGGCACCCAAGCACACCCAGGTTAGCATGAAAGGTGCCCAATTTCACTCTTTGCACACCTGCCTCCCAGGTATGCTGTGGTTCAGAGGACACCCCTCGGATCCTGGGCTCACGTATTTGGGCTGCGCCCCACTGGCTATTCCACCAAGGCAGCTTCAGGCATCTCCAGGCCCGTATCTGCCCCAAGGAGAATCCAAAGGTTAGTTTTGCTTGTGTGGAAGAAGGAAACTGTTCCAGCCTGGAATGCAGGTGAAGAAAGAAGGGATCAAAGATGGCTTAGAGGGATTTCCCTGTCAGCCCTGTGGTTAAGACTCTGTGCTTTCAGTGCAGGGGGCATGGGTTCGATCCCTGATCGGGGAATTAGGATCCCACAGGTAGGGAAGTATGGCCAAAGAAACAAAGCACAGAACAGCAGCAGCAGCAACAAAGAGGGCTGAGAACCCGATCAGAAAAGCAGATGGTGGACCACAGCCACTCAGCAGTCAAGCCAGGAAACGCTTCTGTCACAGTAGTCATCTTTGGGTGCAAAGCGTGTTCCAACTTTTTGACAGGGCGAGGGGATACTTCTGAAAAGTAGACAGCTTGCTTACCAGCCCTTTTCCTTCTACCCGAACCCAAGCTAGAGGCCAACAGAACCACAGAACTTGGGGCTAGTGGGCAACTCTGACCTCATTTCCTGGAGTCTGCTCCCCAGACTGCATCTGGGACAGGCAAGATGGGAATCTGGGAGAGGGTTCTGACCTTCCATCTGACCCTGGATGAGATCCTCACCCTCATGTCTGAACAAGGGCAGTAGCCTCCCGGCTGCCCTCCTGGCTCCTCTGCCTCTCCCTGCCTGGAACATTCTTTACAACACCCTGAAAATCCTCCCCCTCCTTAATATGTTCTTTTGGTAAGCATTCGGTATACATTCCCAGGGTGCACACAGCCGCAGGGCAAACCACACTATGCAGTCTCCTGATGAATGTGTACATCTCATACTTTACCTGAGTTATTTTTTGATTAGGAAAGCAATGCATGTTCATTGTAAAATATCTACAACAAAGTACACATAAAAAAATGAAATAAAAATTCCCCCTGGGGAAAAAAGAATTCCCCTGATATAGCCACATTATCATTTTGGTGTAATTGCCTTCAATCATTTTCCTATAAATACCTATAATTTTTAACCAAACTGGAATCAGATACTACATATTATTTTATAAACTTTTTCTTTTTTTTACTTTGTATATTATAAATACTTCCTAGTTTAGTCCTGTATTCATCTTCAACATAATTTGTAACAACTGTCTGGTATTTCCTTTTCTGAATGGCCTATAATTTATGCAACCATTTCTCTATGTTTTCAGATCCTTTTTGATTTTTATCATAAATAACATTTTTTAATGAGCATGCTTGAAGATAAACATATATGCAAATCGCTATTATTTCCTTAAGGTAAATTCCCAAAAGTAGAATCATTTGGCAAAAGGGAATCCATGTTTTTAAGTTTTTTGTGATACTCTGTGACAAATTGCCTTCCAGAACTTACACCAATTGGAATTGAAAAACTTACATTTACTAATTGCTAATGACTTTGAACATTTTTTAACCTATAGTTTTTAAAATCAGTCACTTACATTCCTCATTTGTCCTTTCTTCCTAAGAGGAGGTTAATTCGTTCATATTAATTTGGTATAGGCTCTTTATACATTAAAGACCCTCACACACAAAAAAATAAAATAAAGACCCTCACAGTTTGTTCCTGTACAGTAGGTATGTTTCCCCAGTTTGTCCTTTAATGTCATAGTTGATGGTAGGGTTTTTCTGACCAATCTAAGTGTTTAAATAGGCAGTCAAAGTATATTTCAGCTTTTAGTGACTACCTAACATTCATGTCAGGGCTTCCCTGGTGGCTCAGTGGTAAAGAATCTGCCTGCCAATGCAGGAGACAGGTTTGATACCAGAGTTGGGAAGCTCCTCTGGAGCAGGCAATGGCAAACCCACTCCAGTATTCTTGCTTGGGAAGTCCCATGAACAGAGAAGCCTGGCAGGCTGCAGTCCATGGGGTTGCAAAAGAATCGGACATGACTTAGAGACTAAACAACAACGTCTGTGTCAGATGAAATTTCTCTGAAAACAGTATCAAGGATGACCTTGACCAGAGAAAGCTAAAGCATAAACATCCTGGCAGCGGTCAGTGTGTGGTCACAAAACAGCAAACACAGGCGAAGAGAAGTTCTCCCTGGGGGCACTAATTATTTTTCAAATGTTAACACTAATTGTGTTTTATCCTTTAAGCCACTTCCTTCCCTTCCTCCCAAAGCTGTCATGCCTGCTAGAGGAAATTTCCCCCATTTACTTTGCCTAGGAGCAGCTTGATCAGAGGATTTTTCCTGATAATTAAGTTATAATATATGACAGCATACACAGTTATGTTAACATATTAAATAATATAGTAGCATTATTATTATAACAGAAACTATTATTATTCTAAAAACCCTCATAACATCCTTACCAAGAAAGTGTCACTCCTTACCCTCACTTAATGGTTACAAGACTTCAGGATTAGAAAAGTCAAGGGGATGTCCCTGGTGGTCCAGCAGTTTAAGA